CTGGACTTGCACTATTACGGCATGAGTGAGGCTACGTATAAGCAATCAGCCTTAGCATGATTGTGGGGGCCTGGCAGAGCTTATGGAATGAGCCCGTAATCTTGCTGTAACACCTATCTGAGTTCAAAAATTCAACACACCAGCGGTGCGTGAGGAGACCTCGAAAGTGGCACATGGAAGGTCCTCCTGTACCAGATGGAGACAGCTGCAATCTCTCCTCTCCTGTCGCTGTAGAGGGACCCATGACACCACATTTCTCAATAATTGCCGCTGCAGCAGCAATGAGGATCGGCGGGTATTTCTACCTCCTCCTATTCTTCAGTTTGTCCTGCCCCCCAGCAGTCTATGAGGCGTTAAGTTCTGTGCAGCACACGTCTACCTGCACAGTGGTGAGGAGCCATTGTTCAACAGCATTTGTTCCAGGACCAGCAACAGAGGAGACCTATGGACGTCGTACACATGGCAGCAGTCATGACCGAGGCCACTGGGTGGATTAGCAGGGGCCATCCCTACAATAGGGCCTGAAGCAAGCAGTCACATGGGATTCACGCATGAAGCTGCCATATGGCTGACCATCGTAGTTACAAGGGGAGTACCTTTATCCGCTGGGGGCCATCAGAAAATCGGTGATGGCCTTTTCACGGTAATGTTCGTAAAGGCGGCCACGTAACATGTGTACCCTATGGAAATTCAAACCCATTGTTGCACATCGCAAGCATGGGCGATGCTGAAAGTGCCAAATTCCAGTTCTGGCCGCATGACGAGCTCAAGGCTAGGGTGTGCTTTGCGGTTGTAGGAATGGCTGAAATGCTTGCAACGTTTACGTGACATTTTAGGCAGTCTATTGCAGTGGGACTGGTGGATTTTAGGAAACCGCTTGACAAACCAGAGTTGAACCACGGTGAGCCTGTGGCAGCATGATGCACAACCTGTACTTGGACGCAGAGCTAGGATACAAACATGTTACTTTTCCTGTTGTCGGTCAACATGGTTTCGATTTTCAGTTTGCTGCGGAGGACAGCCATCTGTCGATTTCTCTGTTCAGCAGCACTGAGGAGCCTATCAGGGACCCTGTGTGACACACCTTCGCCTGGACCTTGGCAGCAGCATGAGGAGGTGGTATAGGGGCCCATGGCAGATTACGGGCCTATGGCAGCAAGCTATGGGAGGCCCGTAATCTGCCAGCACCTATGTCAAAAAAATTCAACACACCAGCAGTGTGTGAGGAGGACCTCTGAAAGTGGCACATGGCAGAGTTGTGGCGATGGAGACAGCAGCAATGGGAGGCCGTACGGGACCCATGACAGACTCTGGACTTGGCAGCAGCATGAGGAGGCGGGGGTGAGGTATATAGGGGCCCATGGCAGATTAGGGGCCTGGCAGCAGCTATAGGGAGGCCCGTAATCTGCCAGCACCCTATGTCAAAAAATTGAACACAACAGCAGTGTGTGAGGAGACCTGAAAGTGGCACATGGCTGAGTGTGGCGATGGAGACAGCAGCAATGGGAGGCCGTACAGGGGGGACCCATGAGAGACTCTGGACTTGGCAGCAGCATGAGGAGAGCGGGTATATAGGGGCCATGGCAGATTAGGGGCCTGGCAGCAGCTATATGGAGGCCCGTAATCTGCCAGCACCCTATGTCAAAAAATTCAAACACACCAGCAGTGTGTGAGGAGACCTGAAAGTGGCACATGGCAGAGTGTGGCGATGGAGACAGCCAGCAATGGGAGGGCCGTACAGGGACCCATGAGAGACTCTGGACTTGGCAGGCAGCATGAGGCAGGCCGGTGAGGCGGCCGGTTGGTATATAGGGGCCTATGGCAGATTAGGGCCATGGCAGCAGCTATAGGAGGCCGATTATCTGCCAGCACCCTATGTCAAAAAAATTCAAACAACACCAGCAGTGTGTGAGGAGACCTGAAAGTGGCACATGGCAGAAGTGTGGCGATGGAGACAGCAGCAATGGGAGGCCGTACAGGGACCCATGAGACAGACTCTGGACCTGGCTAGCAGCATGAGGAGGCGGTTTATATAGGGGCCCTATGGCAGATTAGTTTGGCCTGGCAGCAGCAGCTATAGGAGGCCCGTAATCTGCCAGCACCCTATGTCAAAAAAATTCAAAACACCAGCAGTGTGTGAGGAGACTGAAAGTGGCCACATGGCAGTGTGTGGCGATGGAGACAGCAGCAATGGGAGGCCGTACAGGGACCCATGAGAGACTCTGGACTTTTGGGCTAGCAGCATGAGGAATGGGTTAGGGGTATATAGGGGGGCGGTATGGCAGATTAGGGGCCTGGCAGCAGCTATAGGAGGCCCGTAATCTCACTCCAGCACCCTATGTCAAAAAATTCACACACCAGCAGTGTGTGAGGAGACCTGAAAGTGGCACATGGCAGAGTGTGGCGATGGAGACAGCACAGCAATGGGAGGCGTACAGGGACCCATGACAGACTCTGGACTTGGCAGCAGCATGAGGAGGCGGGTTTAGGGGTATTATAGGGGCCTATGGCAGATTTAGGGGCCTGGCAGCAGCTATGGGAGGCCCGTAATCTGCCAGCACCCTATGTCAAAAAATTCAACACACCAGCAGTGTGTGAGGAGACCTGAAAGTGGCACATAGGGCAGAGTGTGGCGATGGAGACAGCAGCAATGGGGAGGCCGTACAGGGACCCATGAGAGACTCTGGACTTGGCAGCAGCATGAGGAGGCGGTATATAGGGGCCCATGGCAGATTAGGGGCCTGGCAGCAGCTATGGGAGGCCCGTAATCTGCCAGCACCCTATGTCAAAAAAAAAACACAACAGCAGTGTGTGAGGAGACCTGAAAGTGGCACATGGCAGGAGTGTGGCGATGGGAGACAGCAGCAATGGGAGGCCGTACAGGGACCCATGAGAGACTCTGGACTTGGCAGCAGCATGAGGAGGCGGTATATAGGGGCCCTATTGGCAGATTAGGGCCTGGCAGCAGCTAGGGAGGCCGTAATCTGCCAGCACCCTATGTCAAAAAATTGAACACACCAGCAGTGTGTGAGGAGACCTGAAAGTGGCACATGGCAGAGTGTGGCGATGGAGACAGCAGCAATGGGAGGCCGTACAGGGGACCCATGACAGACTCTGGACTGGCAGCAGCATGAGGAGGCGGGTATATAGGGGCCCATGGCAGATTAGGGGCCTGGCAGCAGCTATGGGAGGCCCGTAATCTGCCAGCACCCTATGTCAAAAAATTCAACATCCACAGCAGTGTGTGAGGAGACCTGAAAGTGGGCACATGGCAGAGTGTGGCGATGGAGACAGCAGCAATGGGGAGGCCGTACAGGGACCCATGAGAGACTCTGGACCTGGCTAGCAGCAGCATGAGGAGGCGGTATATAGGGGCCCATGGCAGATTAGGGGCCTGGCAGCAGCTATAGGAGGCCCGTTAATCTGCCAGCACCCCTATGTCAAAAAATTCTAAACACACCAGCAGTGTGAGGAGACCTGAAAGTGGCAATGGCAGAGTGTGGCGATGGAGAGACAGCAGCAATGGGAGGCCGTACAGGGACAAACCATTGAGAGACTCTGGACTGGCAGCAGCATGAGGAGGCGGTATATAGGGGCCCATGGCAGATTAGGGGCTGGCAGCAGCTATGGGAGGCCCGTAATCTGCCCGCACCCTATGTCAAAAAATTCAAAACACACCAAGCAGACTGTGTGAGGAGACCTGATATAGTGGCACATGGCAGAGTGTGGCGATACCTCTAGACAGCAGCAATGGGAGGCCGTTTACAGGGACCCATGGGACAGACTCTGGACTTGGCTCCAGCAGCATGAGGAGGGCGGTATATAGGGGCCCATGGCAGAATTTGGGGCCTGGCTCAGCAGCTATAGGGAGGCCGTAGTAATCTGCCAGCACCCTATGTCAATAAATTGAACCACAACCAGCAGTGGTTGTGAGGAGACTGGAAAGTTGGCACATGGCAGAGTGTGGCGATGGAGACAGCAAGCAATGGGAGGGTACCGTGACAGGGACCCCTATGACAGACTCTGGACTTGGCAGCAGGCATGAGGAGGGCGGGTATATAGGGGCCTATGGCAGATTAGGGGCCTGGCAGCAGCTATGGGAGGCCCGTAATCTGCCCAGCACCCTATGTCAAAAAATTCAACACACCAGCAGTGTGTGTGAGGAGACCCTGAAAGTGGCACATGGCAGAGAGTGTGGCGATGGAGACAGCAGCAATGGGAGGCGTAACAGGGACCATGACAGATCTCTGGGACTTCGGCAGCAGCATGAGGAGGCGGTATATAGGGGACCATGGAGCAGATTAGGGGCCTGGCAGCAGCTATGGGAGGCCCGTAATCTGACCAGCACCCTATGTCAAAAAAGTTCTACACAACAGCAGTGTGTGTGAGGAGACCTGAAAGTGGCACATGGCAGAGTGGTGTGGCGATGGAGACAGCAGCAAATGGGAGGCCGTACAGGGACCATGAGAGGGACTCTGGACTTGGCAGCAGCATGAGGACGGGGGTATTATAGGGGCCCATGGCAGATTAGGGGCCTGGCAGCAGCTTATGGGAGGCCCGTAATCTTGCCACCAGCACCCTATGTCAAAAAATTCAAAACACAACAGCAGCTGGTGTGAGGAGACCTGAAAGTGGCACATGGGGGGTGGGCCAGAGTGTGGCGATGGAGACAGCAGCATGGGAGGCCGTACATTTCAGGGACCCATGACAGACTCTGGACCTGGCAGCAGCATGAGGACTGGCATGGTATATAGGGGCCCTATGGCAGATTAGGGGCCTGGAGAGCAGCTATGGGAGGCCCGTTAATCTGCCAGCACCCTATGTCAAAAAAATTGAAACACACCAAGCAGTGTGAGGAGACCTGCAAAGTGGCACATGGCGATGAGAGACTGTGGACCCTGGCAGCAGCTTGAGGAGGCGGGGTATTATAGGGGCCCATGGCAGATTAGGGGCATGGGCAGCCAGCTATGGGAGGTCCCGTAATCTGCCAGCACCCTTATGTCAAAAAAATTCTACACACCAGCAGTGTGTGAGGAGACCTGAAAGTGGGCACATGGCAGAGTGTGGCGATGGAGACAGCAGCAATGGGAGGGCCGTTACAGCGGTCCTCATGGACGAGACTCTGGGACCTGGCGTAGCAGCATGAGGGAGGCGGTATATAGGGGCCCATGGCAGATTAGGGGCCTGGCAGCAGCTATGGGAAGGCACGTAATCTGCCAGCACCTAGAGGGTGTCAAAAAATTGAACACTACCAGCAGCGTTGTTTTGAGGAGGACCTGAAAGTGGGCACATGGCATGAGAGGACTGTGGACACTGGGCCTGAGCAGCATGAGCAGGCGGGGTTTATAGGGGGGGGGGGCCCATGGCAGATTAGGGGCCTCGGCAGTCAGCTATGGGAGGCACGCGTAATCTGCCAGCACCTATGTCAAAAAATAGTCAACACTCACCAGCAGTGTGTGAGGAGATCTGGAAAAGTGGCATATGGCAGAGTGTGGCGATGAGACAACCACTCCACCCGGGGACTGTTTTGCTCGCCTGCCAAGCTGGCCACCCTTCCTTCTCCTGATGATGCGGAAGCAATAGCCTTGATGACGGTCGAGGCTGCCAAGTGCGATCATGCATCATCATCATCAGATTAGGGTTCTCCGCCTACACTACTAGACCACTCGGCTGCGTGTGGGTCAGGAGGACAGACATGTTTCTACTCCGGCTTACCGAGCCACTCTCCTCGCCGACTACTTCTTCGCCTGTGGCTGCTGAAGAGGCGGATGTCTCCCCCCATCCTGACCGCCCTATTCTTGGTTCGCTCTTCCTCACTGTACTGGATGACACCCGGGAGCACTAGTCTCTGGCTGCGTATTGTGCCTGCCCTCGACCCCATTTCCTCTGCTGCCAACGTCTGCTCGCTCCTATAATACATTGCCTCCTCTGCCACTCTCTGCATGTTGTCTGACATACTCTTTAATTAAACGATTCTGTTGTCCCTGTGGTATCAATTCTGTTTTGGTCCCTGAGTATCGTTTCTGTGGCCCTAAGTACACAGTTCTGTGGCCCTAAGTAAACAGTTCTGTGGCCATCAGTAACCAATTCTGTGTCTGTCCCTGAGTATACAATTCTGTGTCCCTCAGTAACTATTCTGTGTCCATCAGTAACAATTTCCGTGCTCCTCTGAGTAACGTTTCAGTGTGGCCCTATGTAACAGTTCTGTGGCCTTTAGAGTAAACAGTGTCTGTGCGGCCCTCAGTAACTATTCTGTGTCTGTCCCCTGAGTAACAATTCTCGTGTTCTGTACCTGAGTATCGTTTCTGTGGCCCTATGTAACGGTTCTTGTGGCCATCAAGTAACAATTTCTGTGTCCATCAGTAAACAATTCTGTGTCTGTCCTGAGTAACACTTCTGTGTTTTCTGTCCCTGAGTAACATATTCTGTGTCCATGAGTAACCGTTTCTGTGGCCCTAGGTAATCATGTCTGTGGCCCATCAGTAAAACAAATTATGTCTGTCCCTGAGTAAACAATTCAGTGTCTGTCCACTAGAGTTAACAATTCTGTGTCTGTCCCTGTGAGTAACAATTCTGTGTCCCTCAGTAAACAATTCTTGTGTCCCCTCTAGTAACAATTCTGTGTACCCTGAGTAAGAAGTCTGTGTCTGTTCCCCCTGAGTAAGAATTCTGTGTATGTCCCTGGGTGTAACGTTTCGAGTGGCCGCTAAGTAACGGTTCTGTGGCCCTCAGTAAACAATTCTGTGTCCCATGAGTATCTATTCTGTGTCTGTGTCCCTGAGTAAACAGTTCATGTGGGCCCTCAAAGTAATCGGTTCTGTGTCTGCTCAGTAACAGTTCTGGTGTCCCCTGAGTAACAATTTCTGTGGCCCCATAAGTATCGGTTCTGTGGCCCTCAGCTTAACAAATTCTGTATGTCCTGAGTAACAAATATGTGTCTGTCCCTGAGTAACAATTCTGTGGCCCTAAAGTTAACGGTTCTGTGGCCCTCAGTAACAATTCTGTGACCCTCAGTAACAATTCTGTGTCTGTCCCTGAGTAACAATTCTGTGGCCCTAAGTAAGCGTTTCTGTGGCCCTCAGTAACAATTCTGTGTCCCTGAGTACTTTTCTGTGGCCCTAAGTAACGGTTCTGTGGCCCCTCAGTAACAATTCTGTGTCCCTCAGTAACTATTCTGTGTCTGTCCTGAGTAACAATTCTTTGGCCCTAAGTAACGGTTCTGTGGCGCCCTCAGTTAACAATTCTGTGTCCTCATGATGTAACAATTCTGTGTCTGTCCCTGGAGTAACAATTCTGTGGCCCTAGTAAATAACGGTTCATTGTGGCCCTAAGTAAACAATTCTGTGTCCCCTGAGTAACGTTTCTGTGGCCCTAGTAGTAACAATTTCTGTGGCCCTCAGTAACAATTCTGTGTCTGTCCCTGTATTAACAATTCTGTGTCCCTAACTAACGTTTCTGTGGCCCTAAGTAACAGTTCTGTGGCCCTCAGTAACAATTCTGGTGTCCCTGAGTAACGTTTCTGTGGCCCTAAGTAACAATTCTGTTGTCCCTGAGTAACAATTCATGTGGCCCTAAGTAAAACGGTTCTTTCGCACCTCAGTAACAATTCTGTGTCCCTGAGTAAAATATTCTGTGGCCCCTAAGTAACGGTTCTGTGGCCTCAGTAACAATTCTGTTGGTCCCTGAGTAACAATTCTGTGTCTTGTCCCTGAGTAACAATTCTGTGGCCCTTAAGTAAACGGTTCTGTGTTCTCGCAGTCACTATTCTGTGTCCCTGAGTAAACAATTCTGTGGCCTAAGTAACGGTTCTGTGACCATCCAGTAAACAATTTTGTGTGGCCCTCAGTAAACATTCTGTGTCTGTCCGAGTAACAATTACTTGTGGCACCCTAACTAAACGTCGTTCTGTGGCCCTAAGTAAAACAGTTCTGTGGCCCTCACGTATAACAATTTCTGATCTTGTACCTGAGTAACAATTCTGTGGCCCTAAACTAACGTTTCTGTGGCCCTAAGTAACAGTTCTGTGGCCCTTCAGTAAACATTCTCTGTCTTGTCCCTGAGTAACAATTCAATGATGGCCCTATCTAACGTTTCTGTGGCCCTAAGGTTACAATTCTCTGGCCACTCAGTAACATTTCTGTCTTGTCCCTGAGTAAACAATTCTGTGGCCCTAACTAACGTTTCTTGTAGGCCCCTAAGTAACAGTTCTGTGGCCCTCAGTAACAATTTCTGTCGCGTCCCTGGGAGTAAACAATTCTGTCGGCCCTAACTAACTTTTTCTGTGTGGCCCTATAGTAACAGTTCTGTGGCCCTCAGTAACAATTCTGTGTCTGTCTCCTGGAGTAACAATTCTGTGGCCCTATCTAACGTTTTCTGTGGCCCCTAATTAACAATTCTCTGGCACTCATGTAAACAATTCTGTCTGTCCCTGAGTAACAATTCTGTGGCCCTAACTAACGTTTCTGTGGCCCTAAGTATAAACAGTTCTGTGGCCCTCAGTAACAATTCTGTGTCTGGTCCCTGAGTAACAATTCTGTGGCCCTAACTAACGTTTCTGTGGCCCTAAGTAACAATTCTCTGGCACTCAGTAAACATTCTGTCTGTCCCCGGAGATAACATTTCTGTGGCACCTAATAAAGTTTTCTGTGGCCCTAAGCTAACAATTCTGGAGGCCCCTCAGGTAACAATCTGTGTCTGTCCTGAGTAACAATTCTGTGGCCACTAACTAACGTTTCTGTGGCCCTAAGTAACAATTCTCTGGCACTCAGTAACAATTCTGTCCCCTGTCCCTGACCCGTAACAATTCTGTGGCCCTAACTAGCGTTTCTTTGGCCCTAAGTAACGATTCATGTGGCCTTCATTAACAATTCTGTGTCCCTGAGTAATGCTTCTCTGTCCCTAAGTAACGTTTCTCTGTCCCCAAGTAACGTTTCTGTGGCCCTAACTCTGTCCCTAATACAGAGCGGTCTGCCTCTCTTGAATGACTGGAGGCAAATGAAGAATTCTAAAATGGCCGCTATTTATAGCTCGACCATTACACAGTGCTGGCTGGCTGGCTGCTGATTGGCTAATGCGATCACATGTCATTTAAGGAATGCATTATGGGTCAGCGCGCCTTGTCTGCGCACCTTCCCAGAGATCCCCGCTCCGTCGCCGCACATGTCCGCCGCCATTTTAGGAAAATTTCGATTCGCGTTCCCGTCCGAAGTAGGCTATTTTTCGGATTGGGCGCGAAAATTTTCCAATATTCGACTCGAATTCCACTTCGCCTACTTCGATTCGCTCATCTCTAGTTACTACGAATATCACTGTGTTCTCCCGGCAGGGATGGCTCTCATAGCTCCCCTCCCCCTTCAAGCTAGGAGAACACAATAGCTCAATGGGAGGGATTCCTCTATCAACACTGACTGTGTTGATGGGGAATTCGAGTGAAATTGCATCATCTATGGCCTGTATTAGTGGATACAGTAAGGAAGGATTTTTCTTTTCAATGGAGAAACTTCCTCTCATTTACTTGTTCAGAGATTTATCTTGAAGTGACAGTAATTATCCTAAATATATGGGGGAAAAAAAAAAAATCACATTTTTGACAGTTGCCTCTATTTTAGGTGTCCAATCAAAGTTCCCTCACCTCTCGTTCTGGTGACAACTGTAAAATTTTAGATTTCATACCACTTTATGAGACTGAACCTAATAGTGACAAAAAGGTAATGCTGTTTGCACTAATCTCCAATAGTTACACAAGAATATTGATCTTCAGCTATCAAACAGCTACATTAAGAATGATCTAAATCCATCTACTTACAGTAAAGTCTGAGAAACAGGTGAGACTGTTTCCCCCCCTCTTGATGTTCAGAAATAATGAGCACTAGTCACTTACATAGTAGATTGATCTTTTTTCCTACAGTTTCCATATTGTATTGCTAAGTTCATAACTTTTAGCTTTGGTATGTCCACAGTAACATATTATACAACTTTTTTCAGAAGAGATAGAATTTTAAATTGGTTGCAGAAGTCTGCATTTATATTTAGTAGAGCATTTTTAGATGTTACATTACAGTGCAAGAAGGATACAATCATTCTTCTATCATGCATTTTAATATACCTTTAGAACAAGTTCAAACCATGTTTTGTGCCCCAAGATTATAGAACAACAGACACGGTTTTTTAGACGTTCTATTGCTAAAAAAAAGAGTTTGAGAGCTCCTTGTCCATAACAGAAAAGAAGTTCCAGTAGTAAAGGGATTTTTTTTTAAAATAACAAACATACTTACCTTCCCTGTGCAATGGTTTTGCACAAAGTGGCCCTATCCCCCGCTTCTGGGGCCCCCGACGCTCCTGGCTCTTCCCCCTTCTGAGCTCCCCCATAGCAAGCCACTTGCTATGGAGATACTCATGTGGACTAGATCGCAGGGCTGTGCTCTGTGTGTCCATAGACACACAGAGCACCACTTAGTCCTGCATACAGCACTCTCCTCATAGGCTGTGATTGACAGCAGCAGGAGCT